AGTTAGTATTAGACTTATCGTCCTTTTCTAGGTAGCTAACTAGGGTTTTAAGGGTTCGGTAAAGCTTAGAGGAGATAGTCCTCGTAAAGGACCGAATCTTGTACTAGTCGGATTCTCTATCGAGCTCGTAATTAACTAAGCCTTCCTTAAAGCGCTTAATATATGCTATAGCGTTCTACCCTTCGAATAGGGGATTTGCCCTACTCCCTAGCTCTAGCGGGCGACGCTTGTTTTAACGGAGAAGCTTAGTTTGCTTCTCTATCATTTTTATAAGGACAGTATAGAGCGCCTCTAGCGTAGAGGGCGTAGGAGGCTTACTTATATTAACTAGTCGCCGCCTAATTTCTTCGTTAATAGGATTAGGGGCGTTTTCGGATTTAGAGGATTCCGCTAATTCTCGATGTTCGTTTTCGCTAGAGCTAGAGCTTATTCGATTGTTGTAAAATAGTTAAAATAGTTGAAATAGAATGCTATATAAAGTTAAAATGGAATGCTATATAAATGTGTTTTTAGTGACTTTAGTCTGTTTAGTTTATTGTAATATTACTATACGAGAGAGTAGTGTGTTAGGCTGTTTCTCCTAGTATTACCCCTAGGGTAGTATTAGGGTTTAGCCTCCTAGGGGTCGCCTAACTACCTCTAGGAGCTGAGTTTAGTAGATTTTAGACAAAAGCCGCTCGGAGGGAGAGACTGCAATCTCTATTTACACCTAGATCCTAGAAACTAGCTCGTATCTCCTTTAGCTAGGCGGGGGGGCGGTAGCCTTCTTTTTCTAGTAGAAGGCTAAGCACTGTCTAAGCGAGGCTACGAATCTAGGAACGCCCTATCCGATTAATAGGGGACTCCCCGGCTATCCGACCTGCAATCCGTATTTGCTATTAATTAATAGTCTTAGTAAACTAAGTAAGGCCGATAGGTAATTAGTCTATCTCCTCCTTAGGCGGGGCTTATCTCGAGTAAGTAGTGCTAAATAGGTCTTCGACCCGGAGCCGAGTCCTTAGAAGCTAGCTATAGCTATAGACTAGGCCCTAAGCTGTAACAGTCCTAAGGGTTTGCAGCTTTTCGGGGTTAAAGCGATGCCCTCGTTAAGAGGTTTCTCTACTTATCGTAATAGCCCCTTAAGATACTTCGGTATCGTCCGTATCGTAGGCTCTTATCGTACCCTCGCTTTAGTTATAGCTATTCGTGCCTAGAGACTACCTTCAACATACCCGAACCTGTTAGATATAAAGAGATAGCCCTACCTTCGGCTCTAATAAAGGACGGAAACCATAACTACTACTACTACCTATAGTAATAGTATAGGCTACCGAGGGTAACACGACCTATAGCAATATAGGCAGCCATGTTTAGCATAATAGGATAACAAGACGGTTGCTTAGGCTAATAACTAGAGCCCTGCAACATAGGTATTATAGAAGTATAATATAAATAATATACTATACGAGGTTAGTGCTCTATCTACAATATAGAAGGAGGCCTCTTATATAGGCTTAATACTTAGCCTAGGTGTGTGGGGCCGGTTACTAGCCAATACTAGATAGATAAAATACAAGATTAGTTGTTAGTTAAATTTAGAGTATTTGTCTATACTAAGACTATAGCGCGGTATGTCTATAGCAAGGACTTTACCTATAAAGTAGTACAGCGATAGGCTATATAACGGAATAAGGAGGCGGAGCTAGCATACCTAATTAATATCTCTTAATAGACAAGTTAATAGATTGTCTTCGTAGATAAGACATACTATAGCGAGCGATTAGCTATTCGGAGGCGTAGATAGGCACCTAAAGGCTTCCCTTATATTAGTAAAGATTACCTCTACCGTCTATAACGATATAGTATCCTTCCGGCCTATTTAGTAGACGGCTAGCTTCTAGGTACGACTCTCGTTAAGCAAGGCAGTGTCGATAGCGAAGCCTTCCTATCGTAGCTCTAAGAGAAGGTATTGCCGCTTTGTAATCTATATCTAGGTCTACGGTCGATTATTATTATAGACAACTGCTTAATATATAGTCGAATAGAGGTCCGTAATCTATACCGCTAGTACGGTGTTATTGCTAACTTCTTGCCGCTATATTCGCTATATCTAAACCCTATTAAGCTATTATTAAGCTTGTTTAAACACTAGATAAAGAGATACTAGGATATAATGCCTAAATACGTATATAGTAGTAAATAGTAGGCCGACTTCGAGCGTTATTTATAGCTAGCAATCGATAGTTAGGGTAAAGGTGTCGACTATAGCAAGCTATTCCGCTATGCTAGAGTAATAGTAACAATATAGCGGCGGTTATTCTAGCTCTTCCTTACTATATAGTAGACTCGATATATCTTTAGGTATACGCTTAGCCCTCTAATGCCTTAAGAACCTATCTACTTTATTCTTAATCCGGAAGAAGGCACTATTAGAAGGCACTTCCTTACGTAGATTATCTAACTTCTCCTTATCCTTAATTATATCTAGACTCTAGTCCTTAGAGGCTATCTAGTCTTAGCCTACTTTAATACTAATAGCAAGAGATAGAAAGCGCTTCCGAAGCTAGCGGCAATAGATAACAAGAATACCTGTATCTGTCTTATCGTCTATAATAGGCGGACTCGACCGTAGAGCGCTTAGTTAAACGTAAGCATATAGAGCGCTAGGTTGCTATTGCTATTATTGCTATTGCTATTAATAATAATATAGCGGTAGCGGTAGATATAACTATAGATTAGGCGGTAGTTAAGGCGCACTATAATAATAGGATTCCTATTAAACCGACGGCTTAGCCTTCTTACCTTTACTACCGGCCTTGCCTTAGTTATTCTTATTAGGGTGTTTAAGCTTATAGCACCGCATTATCTTCTCGATAACCTTCTTATTTAGTGCCTTAACTAAACACTTATTATTAAGGGCTATCTAATCCCTCTAGAAGGTTAGTACTATAGCTATTAACTTATAATAGCGACCTATAAGCTTATAATAGCCTACAACGCTAGCCTGCCTTCTAAGGGTGCACTAAGGGTCTATATAGGCGTATGCCTTACGAATAGCTTTATACTGCTAAAGCCGGCTATTAGTATCTTCTATTATAAGGTTATTAGAGTCCTTCTTCTTCTTCTTCTTCTGTTCGGCCTCCTTCTATAGATTGACTAGTAGACTCGATAGAAGGTCTATTAGATTAGAAGACAAGGGGTCTTACGAGGCCTATTAAGCTAGTTAAGCCTATTAAGCTACTACCGCTTTCTCGTCGTTCTTAGGATCTAATTTAGCGAAGGGCGTATCGGCTCTATAAGACTAATATTCGGTTACAATAACCTAAATAGCAAGAGGGCTTATAGAGCGGAAGAACTTAATAATACTATTACTACGACCTATCTATTTAAGCTACCCTCTAGTTATCTAGAAGCTCTTAGACTCTCGCTTTCTATTCTTCGTAAGCAATGCTTATCCCTCGTAGTCGCGGCGGATTAAGAAGTGCTAGAAGCCTTTAATATTAGTATAGGCTTCTACGTTAATAGCCGCTCGCTTAAGTAGCCTCTTTAGGTTAATAGCACTGCCTTCTATAAGGGCATAGTCCTTACTAAGGTCCTTACGATTAAAGAAGAGCTAAAGCTCTAATTAAGTAATCTCCGGCTCTAGTTTAATAGACGTAGACCTAGCTAACTTAGCAGGTATTAGCCTCTTTGCTGCTTTTGTAGCAGGTATAGCTTTATTAGAAGAAACAGTAGCCTTCTTTATCGGCTTCTTAACCCTCGTACTAACCTTGCTAACCTTACTAACCTTGCTAACCTTGCTAACCTTACTAACCGTAACTTCTTGTTCTTCTACTAGCGCTTATTCTTCTACTAGCGGAGGCCCTTCTACTAGCGGAAGCCCTTCTACTAGCTCTTCCGCTAGCAATGTATTACTTATAGGCGAGCTAATATCGCTTTGCTAGGTCTTATTAACCTTAAATTAGACCTTCTTTAGCTTCTTTAGTACTTTGCTCGAACTTGCCCGAGAAGTCCTTCTCTTGCTCTTTAGCTAGGTACTCTTCTAAGTAGCGGCAACCTCCGCTTTTAGCTGTTTTGCTAGTAAATAAGCATCCTCGGCGCTCTTCGGCGTACGCCTCTTAGAAGGTATAAGAGGAGGTAGTAGGGGCTATTATAATAGGGGTTCTCGAGGTTAGCTTTAAGCCTAATTTATCGTCCTTCTAGCCTACCTTCTTACGTCCTACGATAAGGCTATATCTACTAGATCTCTTTTAGTGTATACTAGGCCTTCTTCTACCGCTATATTACTAGTATTATCGTATATTAAGGCGTCGCTAGGCGGTAGTAAATCTACTAGAATTAAAGGCAGAGGAGGAAGGGTTTCGGGTAACTAAGTCTAGTCTTCTACGTCTATACCTTCTAGTAACAATAATAGCGACGAATAGTCTTCTTTTATTAGCTATTAGCTCGGCGCTATACGATTATATAGTATGTTAGTATATTATATAGACTATAGACTACTAAGAAAGCAGAAAACAGGTGCTTAGCGGGTCGACTTAGTAACTCGCTATACGCCCTATTATCTGTACTATATTCTTACGCAATAATAATACTACTAATAAGGTCGATATCTACGTTAAAATAAAGCGGCGAGCTTATAGTATTTATTAGGAAATTAATAGAATTGATTAGTGCAGTACGTTAGGAATAATAGTGGAAATTAGTATAGTAGACTGCATAGAGATAGCATCGGCTGCCCCGCGGCTTAAAAGCCCGGGGT